ATTTTTCTCTCCCACCCCTTTGACATTTCAGAAGAACTTAGGAGTTTCTGTTTATTCTTTTTCAGTCTTCAGTGGAAGACCATTGGTATAGTATATTATTTGGCTTTGTGGCTTTTTTCTTTTCTCAATTTTGGGTGTAGTTGTAGCAGTTTGGTGTTTTTCACCACTCCGCTGATTTTTAGTTGAGCCTCTCTAATAGAAGAGGGAAAGAAACTAACCATCTTTGAAGGTCCTGTTCATGGAACTTTGCATTGGAATTGTGCATATGTGCTCAGAGAACTGGTTCTGATGAGTTGTAATGGAAAGTGCTCTAATATGTCAGCAAAAGTTTGTCAGAGAGATTCTAGTCTGAGGTGAAGTGCCTCAAGGAACTGGTTTTCAGTGCAGTCTTGAATAAAGATCCTTCACCAAGCAATGAAAGCTGCTGTCCTAAGCTGTCATGAGTCCAAGTGTCTTGATGAGGTGACCTCCTGAATAATCCTTTGTCACTGATGATCCTGTGCAATTTACTAGTAGTGAGTTCTGGTTTCTCATAATAGTTGAATGCATTGCTTGTGAAGGCAGCACTGAAGGAACTTTGACAGAAAAAGGTGTTGCAGGTGTTTCCTGAAAAATGTGTGGTATGGATCAATATAGCTGTATGCTTCTATGTTTATGCACATCAGAACAGTGGTCTGAAACTGTAACTTTTCTCTTTAAGAAACAAAATTTGCCATAACATTCTAGGAGATCAAGATTAACGTAGTTAGAGAACCAAATCAGCCTTACCCACATTTTGCCTGTGTATATAGCTAGAGCAATTTACTTGTTATTGTGATAAATTAATTATTTGAAATAAGAATGGAGGGTTTTTTTAATCTCTGGCTGTAAATGCTTCACGTCAAGTTAAATGAAAAACTATTCAAAATATTTTTTGATGCTTGAATGTACATGCTTAATAGAAGGGTGTACTAATGGCATATGGTTGGTTATATAGGTAAAATGATCATGCTTCTATGAATAAAAGATAGTCATTCTGGGTTGTAGAGATGCAGACAAATATAGGGTAAAAAAATTCAAGGTACATCTTTCCAAAAGTGTCTAAAAAGCAAGTGCTAGGATTTGCTTTTCTGAAATTACAAATGTTTGTACACCAGAGGTGCATCCAATTTAAGATTAATAGCTCAAGTGTGGACCTGCTTCTTGTTTTTTGAGAGTCTGAGAGCAGATTACTCCTGCTCCCAGTACACAAATGGAATATGTGGTCTCTGTTTGAGTAAATTGGCTGTGGTTTTATCTATAGAAAGCTATGATTTACTTTTTTGCAATACAGTTTATAATAAAATAGTTTCAGAATTATTTCTCTTTAATAAATGAAAGAAATTATGGCTGACACTTGGCCATAATGGTGTGTCTAAAATAAAATATTTTGGGTAAAATTTTTCATCTGAATTTTACCAGTAAGTATTAAAACCCCTCCCTCTTAATCTGGACAAAAGACGTGAGGTTTTATAGTTGTTTTGGTGCAAAGACTAGTGATCTGAATCATGAAAGGAAATAATTGCTTGCAGCTTCTGAAAGACAGTACTATTCATGTTTTTGCCTTAAAACCTGAAATATAAAACCTGTAAATATTGTCAAGTTGCTTCCCTGTGTAATGTAACCACAATACATTAAGCGGTTGTACTGTACATTTGTGGATGACTTTCTTTGTAATGATACAGCTTAAGTGACGTGTAGCTCTTTTGTTTCATATAGAATTTTTAATAGTTATATTTAAAGGTGGGAGCTGGATAGTACTTCAGAAGTAATGTGATTTAATTACATTTGTTAGTACGTTTGTATATACACAAGAATTATATCTTACTATTAATACTACAATCCTGATGAAATAAAATTTGAGAACAAAATACTAGCATCGAGGCAGAATTCCCACATTTCAACTGCTGAAAATCTGCCCTGTTGTTACTAGCTTCATCTGACTGCCCTACATATGCCTACATATACATAATGCACTTAAAATACATTGATTCAAGAAGGTACAAAACATATGTATCTTGGTACTACAAGAGCTTTTTTTTATCCAAATTTAAAAAAAAAATAAATCTGGTCATATATATATAATGATAATATAGCAGTTCCTAAGGTCTTGTTTCATGGGTAAATCTGTCATGCAACCAATTACAAGTTGACGAATATGTTTCTATCAATAGGAAGGTGAACAAAGTTTCTGGAAATATTTTACATTAATATGTTCAGCAGAGAATTTAATGAGGGTGTACAGCATCACTAGAAAGTAATTGTATGCACAAGCTAGCATTTTGCTTGGAGGCATAAGAATTGAGGAATTCTACTGCATAGAAAGAATAAATAAAAGATTTTTAGAATACTCAGTTGATGGATGAGAATGATGACTTATTTTGAGCTCTAGTGTTGGATCATCTCTTAGATCTGTTTCTGACAGTTCTTACACTCTTCTTTCACAGTATATGAGGAGTTCTTGAAGTATTTCACTAACTTTTTTTTGTGTTCCTAAATTTTAAGGGGTCTAGACTGAGAGCAATGTTGGTTTAGTTTAATTTTGATTCCACAGCTGTATAAAAAAATTTGTTAACTTTTAAATTAAAATCTTATACAAGAAGACATGTTCAGTTAATTAGAAGTGCAAAATGACCTAGTTTCAGTCTAGAAGAGGTTCTTACAGTATTTCAAAAGATTTTAATGACTCTGGAAGTTGATCAAGAATATGGTTAACTGTTGTGTCATCTAGTAATCTATGAGTCTTCAACACAAAATAGGGGGAAAAAAAAAAGCCCCCCAAAGCTTTTCAGATTGTTCTAGAAAGCACAACTGTCAGATGCACAGATATGTAAGGAAAATAGTTGTTTAGCACAGAAGTCATGATTTAACAATACTTCAGCACAGGAATCTTCATCTAAGGAGTTAAAATGAAAATTATTTTTACGGAAGCTCATTCTATTTATGGCATGTAATCCAAAGGTTCTTTATAGATGAAGCTAATACAGCCTCTGATTTTATTCAACTAATGAGAATTTGGAGTTGACCTTTCCTACAGATTGTGAGGTAATAGGGTAGCAGTGAAAGGCTATGAAGTTGAACAGACTAAGTTTCATGTAGAAAAAAGAGGGGGCCAACGAAAAGGTAAGGGGGAAATGGTAGCCCAGTTAGTGTTCATAAAGATTCTGAGTATCTCTAGAGCAAAACTGCATTTGTTAAAATCAGTGTAGTGTTACAAAAAAATCGAAGAGCAGGATGGAAAGAGAGTAAGTGAGATGGAGAAAAGGAAAAATTTTCTTTGTGTGTCTGTATTGCATTCATAGTTTAGTAGTGGGTTCACTTAGTCTCCCTGACTTTACACTGAAACTGTGTAGAAGTCCTCTCAGAATAAGGAGAAGTTAAATTCGTACTTCCTTATTAACTCTGAACAGTTTGCTGCTGCCTCTCAGCCCTGAAATTTTACTGTTCCATTATTTCCAAAGTATCATCTCAGCAGTTTTGTCTACTGCCTGCCAGACTTCAGGGTGCCAGGGAGACCTCACTTTCCTCTGGCATGTGTGTAGAGGAGGGTTTGCCTCAGTCTGTTTAAAATTAATGTTGGAAGAGAGAAAAGATTAAAGGGTTTAGCTATGTAAGTAACTTGTTATCAGGTGGATAATGGAGCACTGGGTATCTAAATGTATGGCTAAGGAACCTGGAAGACATAATGTGAGATTATGGAAAGAGGTTCAAGCTACAGGTGATAAATTTAAATTAAAGACCTGAGTGACAGAATGAGATTTCTAGTTTGGGTAGAAGGAGACAATTCTAGATGAAGCAGTTTGATCTGTAAGGGTGGTAATTGAATTTGAAGGTTAAGATGTGAAAGAAAAAGAAAGAAAACCACTAACAAAACCTTGTGGAATCTGCATAGAAAACAGCACAGAATGAGGAGAATCTATTTAGAAGAAATGCTGAAGGAGTAATTTGATTAGTAAGAAATATCACAGAAACTGATAAAAGATAAAATTTCATTAACTAAACTGTGTTTAACAGTGAGAAGGGTCAAGAGGGTTGACGACAGATACTTGTTCTGTTGTGTATCTGAGAAGTTACTAGAAATTTTGGCAAGGACTTTTTTCATTGTTAAAGGCATTTTTTTTAAAGGATTAAATAAACAGAGGGAAACTTCAGGGAACAGTTTTAAATAGTGCATTCTTTGAGCTTGGCAATGAAAAGGCAAGATGTACTATGATAGTCCTACAGAAGCATCAGGCACATATGTTCTAGTATCGTTTTATTCTATACCTTACAATATATGAACCTGTAATTAGAAAAAATTATAGGCTAATAAAGTTGCTCTATTCAGTTTCAGGGCTGATTCTTCTGGTTAGTAACATAATCTGTATTCAAAGGGAAGAACAGGCATAAAATTACATAAAAATTAGTTATTTCGTATATACCTAACAAAAAGATTCCACTGTATATGTAGACAGTTGCCATAGGGATTTTTAGTAAACTATAATTGAAATAATTTTGAACTCTCCCTTACAGCAGAGAGAAACTAGTTGCTTTAAAGAATATATATCAGTTATATGTATGTACAACAGGTTTTGTTCATTACTTTATTGTTTCTGAATTAAGTTAAAGGGAAAGCAACTTGTAAATAAGAATTTTAATAGTTAAGCCTGAAAATAGTTTAAAATCCACTTAAATATCTCAATTGGTTTTTCAACAGTTAATAGCATTTTTTTAATAGTCAAGATGGGAAATTGATGTATCGTAAGGTATTTTCAAAATTGCTTGGAAAAATAATAGCATTAAGAAAAGAAGATCTGCCAAGGATTGATGTTAAATATCCATTGTTTTCTGGTTATGTTTTGCATATTTATTTGTTGTGATATGTACCTTTTGTTCTAACACTGTTTTAATGCACTCTATGTAAAATTTATGTGTGATAATATTAAACCTGAAGGAGGGAGTTTGTTTGCCAGAATATAATTTTGGAAAATATGTTTTTGCAGGTACCTTTTGATATACAATCCAATGGAACAAGAGCGACTTTCAGTGGTTTCAGTCAATGTGAATTCACCCAGAGTTAAAGTATTATCTCCTTTGGGAAAACCTGTTGCTGTCCAGATTAGTGCTGTTTGGGATGGAGCAACTACAGTATCACATGAAGCATATGAGGTATGCTACTTTAAGTAAGAATCATTAAAGTACTTTTTTTGGACATATACTGTAGCTTCACAGTTGTAGAAAATGTAAAGCATACTTCAAATATTGGCAATTCTGTCTTCTGCAGATAATGTCATTGATTCTGTCATTTTAAGGAAAAAAAAACAAAACATATTTACCATTAATGTTTCTTAAACTGATAAGTTATTAAACTTTTATGATATGGTGTATTAGATTTAAAGGGTCAGTTTCAGCTGCATGAACAGAAAATACTGGATGTCTTAATTTTCCCTCAACTTTCTAAAGTTCCTTTTTCCTTCAAGTGATGGTCTATAGACATAGTCACACAGGCTGTATATGCTCAAGCACTCTAGCTGGCAGGTTTTATAAGGGCAATGGCTTGGGCAGTTAGATTCTGAGTTTTTTGTTTTGTTTTGTCTCCCAGTTATAGAGGCTGGATAGTAATACCCATTACTCTTGTATCCAAGCTAGACAACGGACTTTGAGTCCACCTCTTGTTTTTTGCCTTATTTAAAGTTTCTGATAATTTTTGAATCATACATAATTATAGAAGATTGTCTGTCCCCAATGATCACACATCAGAAGCTGTATTTTGCTAATTTCTTAATGATATAATAGTGTGTTGTATTACTGTAATAGTACTGTGTTACTTTCAGAGCTTACATTATTAGTCTGATTCCTTTTGACACTGGAGCCAAGTTGACCTTGTTTCAGGATAATATTCCTGAAAATATTTCAATAAGTGTGTCTCAATTGTCCTCCAAATGCATAATTATTGATAGTTGTTGCAGGTTAACCCTATTAAGCAGCTCAGCCCTGCACAGCCAATTGCTCACTGCTTCCAGTGGGATGAGAGTGAGAATTGGAAGGGTAACAGTGAGAAAACTTGAGGATTGAGATAAAGACAGTTTAAATAGATAAAGCAAAAGATGTGCATGTGAGCAAAGTGAAATAAGGGATTTGTTCACTACTGCCATTGGCAAGCAGGTGTTCAGCCATCCCCAGGAAAGCAGAGCTCCATGATATGTAGTGCTTACTTAGGAAGACAAACACCATGACTGAATGTCTCCCCCCTTCCTTATTCTCCCAGTTCTTGCAGCTGAGCGCAATGCCATATGGTCTGGGGTATCTCTTTAGTCAGCTGGGATCAACTCTCCTGTCTTTGTCCCCTCCCAGCTTGTGCACCTCCAGTCTGCTCGCTGGTGGGACAGCACCAGAAGCAGAAAAGGCCCCGATGCTGCATAAACAGCGCTCAGCAATTGCTTAAACATCCCTGTGTTTGTTATCAACATTATTGATGTCAAAACATAGCACCATATGACCTACTATGAAATTTAACTCTATCCTAGGCAAAAACAATACAATAATTAACACTGTTTATTGCCTGAAGTAGTAAAATTACATATCTGTCCCTCATATTCTAAGCTTTGGAGATCTACCTAGTATATTACTCTTTTGTACAGATTACTTTATTGCTCTTAAATAACGTGAGACTAAAAATGACACAGTTGCTTTGTATTTTGCTGTTTAAATTTGTGAATTTTTAAATGTAACTTAAGTGATAAGTAGTTTGTGCACACTTGATACAGTACACACACATCTTTAATGCACAGCAAATATGCTCAGAACTGCACATGACAGCTAACATTCTTTTTTAACCAAATTCAGAATCATTACTGTATTAATGTAACAGTGAACTTGATGTGAAGGAAATTAGCAATACAGGCATTTTTGTTTGCTAATTCTTAACATGCTTCAGCTGTTAATTTTGGAATGTCAATTTCATACTCATTTATGGAATATGGGAAAAATTCAGCCATCCTGAAATTATTGAAGCAAAAGGAGTTACTGTGAGAAGAAATTTAGTATGAAAAGTTGATAATTCAATATTTTCAATAATGACTTCTTCTTTGCTCCCAACAGATCTCTTTCGTGGCACATCTACCACCTCTGGGGATTGGAGTTTACCAGCTTTTGGAAGTTCAGAGTTCAGAAGCAGTTTTAGCAGACTATAATATATACTTAAGGAATAGTAAGCAGGAGAAGCCAGACAGACTTTTCAAGATAAAAGAGATGCAGAATTCTGTGGATAATATAATCTTAGAAAATTCTTACATGAAACTGTGGTTTTCTGGAATGTCTGGATTACTGGAGGTGTGTTGCATTATATTTCAAAACACTATGTTTTACTGTTTTAAGAACTTTTGTTCTCATTTGTGGAAATCTAAATGTGTCAGCTAGTTCAAACGTGATTCTCTGTCCTTAGAAAATAAATACCAAAGAAGATGGTAAAAATCATCAAATGAAGGTGGAGTTTGCTTGGTATGGAACTACAAGTAACCGGGATAAAAGTGGAGCTTATCTCTTCTTACCAGATGGAGATGCCAAGGTAAATCTTCAGTTTGAAGAGATTTCTAATCTTGTAATTATTTGAAGCATTCTGCAAATACAGATTGAAAGAGCTAGTTTTACTCAACACTGAAATATGCCTGTGTGGCTAGAAATAATGACATCGGTGTTGAAATAGTTGGCAGAACTTCATACTTCATAATCCTATGTTTGGGTAAAAATATACAGAATATTTGATTCACCAAAAAAATGAAATATGATGATACTGTTTCAAGAAACCCAGTGAGATATGACCATTCAATATCAATAAAATAAATTCACTTTCACTTCCTCTCATGAAAATGTATAGAACATACTAGTTAATTTCTGCATTTCTCCATTTTTTGATTCTTAAGATTTCTTAATTGTAAATGAGGAGCTTCCAGTTCAGAGCATAGTACCTTTTTAGGTTGATGTTAACATATGTCGTTTAATATAGTAATTAAGGATACTGAGTCCCAATTGATGAATGTAAAGATGGAGTAGCAAACAACTATTCTGAACGAGTTGTCTAGGGTTATCAATATTTTTAGCTGTGTAATTATTTGAGGGCAACAGTATACTCCTATTAGTTTTCACATTGAAAATTCAAAAACAACAATGTTCTTAACACTGACTTAATTACCATTTGGAATCTACCACTTTTGGAGCTGGAAGAGTGATACTTCAGAAAGCAAATGGTGAATAACACTTTCAAGAAGCTAGCTAGTTCGTAGCATATTTCTTTTGCCCAGTTTCTCATGGGGAATATTAAATTGCATGCATAAGGCAAACTAGGAGTTCCATGTTTACTACGTCAGGAAATAAGCAAAGGTAATTACTTTTTTTGTTTGTTTTATATGTGTAAATCATCTGGAAGTGGACAGAACAGTTTCCTTTCATTTTAGCAGTCTCTTTTTGAAGCACACATCTTGAGGTCTGTGGGTTGGCAGTTTTAAACCATTTAGTACATCTAGTCCTGTAATTCTTTGCTTAAGTTATGTTCAGCGGGGTTCACTTATTCTTAATTTTTAAATGTCAGTGGGTTTGATCTGTGAATACCTAGACAATATCACTTAACATTTTATTAATTTTTACCTTTTATCATCTGCATGGTCGCACTTTAATTTTTATCTTTCGCTTATAAAAACAATCACTAAATGTAACAGTTATATTATTTTAACCACACTTTTGAATTATTTGCTTTATAAAAAAAGTCTAGACAAATCTAGTAGCAAAGTGCTGTGATTTGAACAGAAAAAATCTGTCACATCCTTACAAGCACAGTTAGCAAATAAGATACATATTGAACATCTATAACAAAGGAAATTAAAGTACATTTTTAGCTAACATGAAAAACGGTGGTGTGTTCGGCTTTTGCAACTTTTTAGACAATAAAAATGAAATCATGATACTTCTAAATTCTGCTTCATTAATATACCATCAGGCTCATTTGGCTTGCATTTTAATAACATTAATTAGTTTGTCCCACTGGGAATAATAGTGTAATTCTGTAGTAGTTTCTAAACCAGTTTGAACTAATGATTTCAGTCTTAAAAGACATGCCACGTGTTCAGGCTTCTCAGTGTGACATGGATTGATTTAACATTCCTTTTGTGGAGTTGTGATATGATAGATTACAGGCAGGTTTATTTGATTTTTTGGCTAGGTGGGCTTTTTTCTGTTCTCCTCACCCTATGTATTACTGCAAAATTTGCAAAGAATAATTGCATTTGATATTGGGTCATTTTCCTCTTGTATGAGTACAATTATGTGTTTTCTTTGCTTTTGTTACCTGGTTGGTTTTGTCACTTGATAAGTCATTTGGTTCCTTTCTTTTCAGTTCTGAAACAGATTATTTTTCTTCAGCTGATTCAGTCATCTTACTATAGTACTTATATATCCTTTTTGGTCTTGGGTTCATCTGCCAGTTTAATTTTGGAAACTTGGTGCTGTAACATGCTAGGTTTTCAGGCCATGACTTAAAGCCATGTCAGTTTAGAACATACACCTGCAGCTATGGTCATCAGTAGGCTGTTATGAGTGGAAGTCAAGTTTTCTGCAAATAACGGTCTGTGTACTAGAATGTACATGGACCTGAAACTTCAACAGGTTCCTTGGGTTTAATCATCTTTATGGCTGACCTAAAATCAGCCTGGAGTACTGCAAAGAGTGCATTCTTGCTAAGAAAGTGGTAAACCTCTAGTACCAACACTAAGTTGGACACCAGCAGAGACCTGGGTAAATGACTGATTTCTGTCAGTATTAAATAAAAGGTACACTGAACACCGATAACTCTTTGTCACTGCTCTGGAAAGAATAGCTGGTCTTAAGGCTCTGTGACACCATGGCAAACATTGCCATAGTGTAGGTAGACTGTCCCCAGTAATAACAGTCTCTGGAATTTTGACATAGAGTCTTGACCATGGATGATACTGTCTCTACCATCTAAAGTGTGAAAGCAGTTCAGCAACAACCTCAAGGTCAGGACACCCATGTGTAGTCCTGGACAATGACACAGAACAGAGGCTCCATACAGCAGCTCTAGAGATAAGGCAGTGTTCCTACCATGTCTCCTATATTTTCTGCAAAATAGAACAAAAGCAAGGTACAAGGTGTCCTGGTTTAACCCAGAGGGCAACTGAGAACCACACAGCTGTTCACTCACTCCTTCCCTGCTCAGGAGTGGGAAGAAGAAAATAAAACAAAAGACTTGGGAATTAAGATAAGGACAGGGAGGGATGATTCACCCATTATGGTCACAGGCAAAAGACCAATTTATATGGGGAAGAAAAAGAACATCAATTTAATTTGAACACCACCATCACCACCATGACTTAACAGAGTAGGACAGTAAGATGTATAACTACATCTTAAAAACACCTTCCCTCTACCCCTGCTTTCTTCGAGGCTCAGCTTTGCTCCCAATTTCTCTACCTCCTCCCTGCCAGCAGTGCAGGGGTCGTCAGGGAATGGGGGTTGCAGTCAGCTGCTTCTGCTTCCCCTGCTCCAGTGTGGGGTCCCTCTCACAGGAAACAGTCCTCCATGAACTTTATCCAACATGAGTTCTTCCCAAGAGCTGCAGCTCTTCTCAAGCTGTTCTAGCAGGGGTCCCTCCTGCATGTCACAGTCCTTCCATCAACTAAGTACAGCAGGGGCTTCCCTCAGAGTTCAGGCCTTCTTTGCACGTAGCCACCTACTTGGATGAGGGAACCTCCATGGGCTGCAGGTGGGCATCTGCTCCACCGTGGGACCTGATGGGCCTCAGGGAGACAGCCTGCCCTGTCACCACAGGCTGCAGGGGAGACTGCACTTGTGCATACCACCAGGCCCCACACCCCCATTCTTCACTGAACTTGAGTTTGCAAAGGTGTCTCTCACAACTCCTCTTCACAACTCCCACTCCTCCTCTCAGGTTCCTCTTCTTAAATACATTATCGCAGAGGCACGGCCACCATTGCTAATTGGTTCAGCCTTGGCTAGAGGCAGGTCTGACTTGGAACTGGGGGAGCTTCAAGAAGCTTCTCACAGGGGCCACTGCTGCTGCCCCTCTGCTGCTACCAAAACCCCACCATAAAAACACACAAACCCAACACACGTGGAAGAAGACAGACATTATCTTAACTTTTTAAAACATCAGTGCTGCTTAACTGATTGCCAATGTTATCAAGGTTTGGAAGGAATGGATTTCCTGGGACCTCAAAACAAATATAAACAAAAGCATCCTGCCTACGAAGGGAAAATGTGTGCTTATCTCTTGTGATTTTGTGAAGTATGACCAACTCTGTAAATCTGCTAGAATCTTGGGGGAAAAAAAAATCAGTATTCTATAAACTTTGAAGCAATGTCTGTATTTTCTTCTATGTATTCAGGACCAGTCAATATGCGATGACCTACTTACTAGCTATGTTTGGTATCAATAGAAAATATAACAAAGCAGGTTTTTTCCAAATAGTCAGATGCTAAGTGTTTGTGAGATCAGTGTGAGTGATTAATTTTCTTGTTTCACCAATGAATTTTTCAGAATTAAAGTGGATCTTTGGTAGACCCAGACTGGGAAATTGTGATTCTCTGTCAGGCAACTCTGTCTGTGGACACATGTATGTATGGTTGCTGTAGGTACTTATATACTAATAGAATATATAAGAAAAGAGATTTTTTTATTTAATCCTGCAGGATCTCTAGTGCTAGAGCTTTTCTTCCTTTTTTCCTCTTCACACACGCTGTGTTCACGGTTGGACTTTTCTGGTGATGATCTCTGACTTGTGTATCTGCAGCTGCTGCTACTAGTGTCAAGAAACTTCTTTCATGACAGGTCCTTTTTTAATCTGTCAAAATTGCCTGTTACCTCTATTTCTCAGAGAAGAATACCTATCTGAATTGTCTAAATACCTGGCCTTCAAACATAAGGAAAAAGATAATAGTATTTTCTGCATTTTAATGAGATTGGGTGGTTCCACTGCCCAAAAGTAGAGAGACTATCCATTTAGAGTATCCTGCTCTTTTTTCACATCTTCCATGTCAAAAGGGCAGAGGATCTTCATTCAAATATAGTATCCTTATTTGTAATGCTTTCCATGTTTTTGCATGCCTGATAACAGGAAAACACTAGTATGTGGGTATCATGACTTGGCGTATGCTTACAATACTCAGGAATCCGCTGTCTTTGACTTTGTCTGTTCTTTTCTTGGTACTATGTATTTTTGTCAAGCATCATATCTATCATCTAGAAATCTGCCCCACATTAGTGGGGGGTTTTTTGGAGATACAAATATTAAAATGACAACCATCTCTTCTGTCAAGTAATTTTAAAAATGTAGGTCTCGAGTTCATAGTATTTGATTCCTGCCTCCACCCACCCACCCAGACAAAGCCCAACCAGTCTAATCTCAAACCCCAAATGAAGGGTAATCTGCTACTGAGAAGCAAATTCTCTTGAAGACTTTGTCTTGCGTTCTTTTTTAAGATCTCAGGAGTATCAAGAGCAATTCAGTCTGTGTTGGAAAACTTTCCTCTGGACATAGTTTGAGTTCCACACCAATAGAGTGCTGCACTGCCAGAAATTTCAAAGCTACACTAAAATGATTAGTAGTGCTTCACCTGACTATAAAGGGAAAGGCTTGTTGCCCATGCTTCATGCCTTCAGGCTGCAATATCCCGTGGCAGCTTCTGTGCAAGCCAGTAAACCTTTAAGTGAAGGGCATCTTTCTGATTATCTTTGCCCCTTGGCATTTTGGCACCTGAGTTGATGCCAAGTATTTTAAGATATCCTAGGGAGCTGTGGGATATTATTTTGCTCCCAAGTATTTTCCCTTAAAGTTTCTAGCTCACTCCCCTCCTCTGCCCCCACACTCCACTTTCTTCAAGAGGAGTTTGTCATGTTTCTCTTGAATTTGAGTACTGAAAAATAGTTTCTGGACCCTTTGACCCATAGTTCTATTTTCCTGTCTCTGAAAACACTGCTTTCCAGGCTCAGCAAAGTCTACCACAGCAGGCTGCTGAATCTGAATGAAACTAGTTCCAGTGGAACTGAGGGGAACAGATTTCACAGCAACAATTCATTTTAACTGTTTAGGAAGTGGAGTCTTGATACTACCACTGGATGTGAAACCCAAATATTTTTATTCCTAGTTTAAAGTCTGAGTAATCGTAGAATCCTTCATGCTAGAAGGTAATTTAGTCCAAGCTCCCACTCAAAGCAGTGTAAATGCTGAAATAGGGCCAGGGCTTTGTCCAGTCAGTTTAGCAAATAGTTCTGTCATTGTTTGTTCCTTCCACTTAAAAAGGATAGTGGCTTGTGTCTGAGTAGTAAGAGGTCTATTTCTGCATCTTAGTCAGACTTTGACATTAAAAGTATCTTTATATTTCCGATCCAGAACCAGGATCATTTCACAGTCCTCTGTGCATCTCACTAAGGATCTTTACAGTGATGCTATAATAATTGCATATTCAATGCATAAAGATATTGTCCTGCTTAAAAGCCTGGTTCATTGAAATGTTTTCAGTGTGGCAAACCTGGGCAATTCTTTCTTTATAGGTTCTGAATTCAGTACATCTCCAGATGAATATCAAGAAATTACTTTCTAGAATTAGTGCTTTTCTAGGCACTAGATATGAATTAGGATGCTTCTCTGTTCTCTCAGTACCATTATTTTTTCTTATTTTTTCCTGTTTGCCCAACAGGCATCCTTGAGAACTCAAGTAGTGTGGTGGTCTGACCTTGGCTAAATGCCAGGTACCCACCAAGTCACTCTGTCACTTCCCCCCACTTCCCCTTGTTTTCTCAACAGGCAAAGAGGGGTAAGAAAATAAGATATACCAACCCTTGTGGGTAAAACAAAAGCAGTTTAAATACAAGCAAAGTGAAGCAAAGGTCTGTGCACAGAAGCAAAAAAAAAGAAAACAGATTTATTCTCTAGTTCCCACGAAGAGGCGCCGTGGGGCCTTCTCAGGATGCAGGGGGCTCCCATAGGCGTAGTGGTTCCTCGGAGGACCAAGGGTGACCCCACCCCCTTCCTCCTTTCTCCCAGCTTTATCCTGAGCAGACGTCATATGGTCTGGAATATCCCTTTGGTCAGTTCGGGTCAGCTGTCCTGGCTGTGTCCCCTCCCAAGATCTTGCCCACCCCGTCCCACTGGGGGAAATGTCAGAAAGAGCCTTGGTGCTGTGTAAGCGCTGCTCAGCAGCAGCCACAACACCAGGGTGCTACCAACACCCTGCCAGCTCCCAGCATAAACCACAGCACCGTGAGGGATGCTATAGGGGAAAACCAATTCCAGTTCAGACAGGCTCAGTACAAATATACGTTGTATCTCTTCCTATGGGAAACAAGTTGTCTAACCCCCCAAACCACTATAGCGTGTGCCTTTGTCTCATTTGTACCTTTCCCCTGCACTGTGTTTGAGCTAGAGACTTGCTAACTGGTTTTTGATACATTTTTCTAGCACTAGTGGAATCATAAATTATGATTTTAAAAATCATTCATTCATTTTGGACAGTATCTGCAAATTGAAATTTAATTTTTTTCCTTTGATTATCACCTCATCTTTCCATATAGTTTAGAATGGTAAGTATGGTTGCCTTTTATCACCAGCTGGGGAGCTAATCTGGCTACATGTGCAGTTTGGAGACTTGGGTGTGTGAACTTAGTGTTTGTGGCAATATACCAGAATCTGTGAGCTGTTAAATGCATGTAATTTCAGCTTTCTCCTTGTCTGAGAACAACTTATTTTGGTAGTTGTCAGTGTCACCATCATGTTTTACACTAACAAGCTCAGTGAAACTGAGTTCCTCCAAGGTTATTTTTACCTTTTGTTTTAAAAAACCTATAATTTTTTTTTTTTTTTTTTTTTAAATAGATGTACAGCCTTTTGCATTCCTCTGTCATTCACCTAGCACCTCCATTTTGCTGGTTTGGTCCTGGATAGCTCCAGGGAGGGCTCTAGTGAGCAATGTTCTTATGAACAACAGAAGTAAACCCGTAAGATAGGCGTTACTTTGCTAGCAGAATATATTTGGCAGACTGCTGTTTGTGTAAGTAGTATTCTAGGTAATAATTGGCAAAGGTATTTGCTTGGCCTGAAGACGTCAGGTTTCTCAGTTTGTTTTCCAAGAGTTTCTTTAACTGCTGTTTCAGTCATTCATTGCTAAACCAAGAACCTTCTTGTTGCCTTAACCATCTGGTAGGCTTTTGAAGGGTTTGCTTATTTCACCTTCCTGTCAGTAATTCAGTTCATCTGTGAGATTTTAATCTAAACATATACTTCTATGAGCATGTAGTCACAGATTAAATTAATTTGCCTTCCCTACCTATGATACATAAGCAGATAGATAGCCATCTCTTCTGCCAGAAGAAAGAGTCAGTCTGCATTTACAGATTTTGGCAGTTTTTCCTGGAAAGAAGAGAACCCGAAGCCAGCTCAAATTCTAACCTAAGATCTGGTCTTCAAATTTCCTTCATGCCAGCATATTAATTCACCTGGCTTCTGTGACCTCTTAATATTATACTCGTCCTGTATTTCTCAGCTAGCAAATAGATTTCGTATAATAGATAACACTTGTCTGTCTTGTGGACAAGACTCCATTGAAAGTATCCCATCATTTTTTCATGTCAACTGTTATGAAGTTCAAAAGAGTCTTTCCTCATTTGGGTTTTTATACTGAGTAACTGCATAAAAACATTGCTGTAAGATGATGAGTAGAAAAATCTCTCCTTCTTGAAGCAACCCATCCTACCAAAGTGTAAGCAACTATGATTCCTCTTTCAAACTTCTGCACAAAGTATTCCAGTGATTGATAGCTGAAGAGTATCTCTTGGAGCTCTGACAAAGCTTTTATTAAACAGTGTTCTGTCTGAAGCTTCAAGAATAACTATGTGAATAGAAGGGCAGGCTTTCAGTCTTTGAAAATCTCTTTCAATTTCTTCTTTTATACAATACTTCTTGAAATCTTATGTGTGAATATACATACAGTTACATGCTCAAAGAAGATTGGACAATATGTACCTATGCTTGTTCTTCCCTGACATGTTTTGTCTGTATGCATGTAATCTTGATTTCTTCTCTTCCTCAAAACATTTGATATTTGGTTTTCTTGCTTGAGAAGAAAAAGCACTTACTGTCCTTAATAAGGTGTTGGTACATACAGGAGGAGGACATCTACTCTCTCAGAGTTTTCTGCTTAGATCCCTCTGAATAACATGTTTTTCAAGTATTTTGTTGTATTTATTTGAATGAAGTCTTCATTTATTGCTGTTGCCCTTTAGTAGTTGCATGTGTTATATTTTATTTTTTGGCTTTCTGCCTGCTTAATATTTAACCTATTTTTACCTTTGTAAACATCTATTTCTGTATAGGGTGTACAGTTCAGTTTGGGATCAACTGTTCTAAAGAAATGTCATCATTTGCATAGCTGAGACTCAAAATATTATGACTACATGGAAAAATACTTTGGTTTGACTATGGTTGTGTGAAATTGTGCTAGTCTTTGAGAGGCATCAGTAAGAAGCCAGTGTCGCTCTTGAGCTTTCTTAATAGTTCACAGCTCTGCTCTGCATTCCAGGGGCCTCCCTGGCAGTTGTAGCTGGTTTTGATGAAGAAAAATCTGCTTCTTGCATTTTCAAAAAGATATGCAAACTGATCCACGAGACAGGCAGCTTTTCTCATGCAGTGTGGACCATTGATACAATAAACTGTGAGCAAACTAGACAGTTAAACCATCTGCCACAGATTATGTAACTACAGTACCTGATTCCTGGTTAGCAAGTATAATTTTGCTAGGAAAAAAATTAAATCCACATGTTTGCAATGTTAATACATTGCTGTTTGTAGGCCTTGTATCCATTAATACTCACATAATACCTGGGAGATATGTAATGAGGATTATCCTTAATTTAGCTAAAGGAAAATTGAGGCTTTGGAGAGAAGTTGCCGAAATTCAGATTAGGAGTAATTTTTTATTTCCAGTTTTTAGTCTAGACTTAGACACAGAACAGTTTAAAATCAAAACTATTTTATCTTTATTAAATATATTGATTTATTGACACTACTATGAAAAACTTCAGAATAGTTATCCTAACTTTCCATTTTCTTTTTATAGCCTTATATTTTTACAGATCCACCTACCATAAGAGTTGCTCATGGAAGGATTTTCTCAGAAGTTGTATGTTTTTTCCATCATGTGACACATACCATGCGACTGTATAAAGTCCAGGGTAAGAGCTGTGAAATTCTGTCTATCTCAGCAGTTATTTTTCATCACTACAGTCTTAGATCCTACCTGTCTTTTTAATGTGTAAGTGAACTTCTGAACTCGTGCACAGTTCATAAGACTGAAGTCTTCACTGGATCCAGTGCATCACGATACCTTTCTCGGCATCATGTTAGTTATTATGCTGGCATGCTTAAACTCAATAGATTTGTTGGAGATACTTCTCAGTATTAGGAAGTTTCATAGTATAAGTTACCTACAAGGGAGTCCTGAACTTTACTGGGTCATCTGAATGCTGTAGGTACCTGTAAATTATGAAAATGAGAAAAAAATTTTACAAATATCTTGGAGTGGATGTAAAAACACAGGTTCTTTCAGAGCTTCAATTTTATCGATGGAGGTACAACAATATCTTCACCAAAGTCATAAAGAATGAGAAGCTGTGTTGGTTTAGGCCCTGACGGGACCAGAGACCACGTTGCTGTTGCCCCTCCCTCACCCCCAGCCGGTCAGGCTGGAAGTGAGGCACAAACCCCGGGTTAAAATAAGGAGAAATTTAATACAACAGTGTAATAAACAATCTGAACAACAACAGTAGCAATGATAACAACAATAAACAGCAATAACAGTAAACAAGACAAAAGATACACAGAGAAATACCGCAATGGTTACAGACAGCTCACTTGCGATGCTCCCTGGCACCAAAGCCACAAAGGAAAAAGTTCCCATGCTCCCACGCCTGGACCTGACATCAGCATGGTATGAATAACCCAGCTGGAGATCCCTTCCCCCTCTCTGCTGGGGAAAACTTAACCCTATCCTAGCTGAACCAGGACAGAAGCCATTTGTTTAGTGACATTAATACTGAAGTCTCGTTTACTCCATAATTGTAGGCATGGTTTTAGTTACCTGTGAGCTTCTAATTTATTTCCTTTATCTGCTTGGAAGAGCTGTGACAATTGGCTGTGGCTGTTGAGAGGGACCAGCACTGAACACCAGCTAACTGACTCTTAAGTTATAATTTCATATCAGTTTCACTTGGATTTTCGTCAGTAAGGGTTTCATTTTTTGTTTCACTACTGTTGAACTACTGATTTCCAAGAAAGTTCTAGGAAAACACTAACTTTAGAAACTCTGTACCCTTCCAAACTTGATGATTAAATCGGCCAGTAAAAAGTGTAAAAGATGAAGGAAAACGTGGTGTAATTTTATAAATTTATTTTCCTGTAGAAACTTGACTTAAAATGCTTAAGTGTATCTTTTTGTAACTGAAGCAGGGAGCACACCTTTTCAGTTGTTCATCTATTTGTATTTAGTCTACCAGAATTTTTCTGAAATACAGAAGTATTGGGTAATACTTTCATCACCTAAAGGAACTTAAACAAGTTTTGTGTTAGCATTACTTTTATAGTAGGTGTCCAAAATTGCTTCATGGTTTTTAAAATCTTATTTATCATATTTAATTATTTTTCTAAACACCTTTAGAAACAAATAGTGGAGCTATAACTACTTTGAAGATCTCCCTTCCTCTTTTCCTTATTCCTTTGAGTCTAAAAAATAGTATTGCCATCAATACCTACTTTAGTCACACAGAACTGATCTGTTTGATTTTTTTTTTCAGTTGTAATATATTTCTCTTTAGAACTAAAATTGATTCAGGTGCCTCATTTTTTTGACATACTTCAAAGTTTGAAATTTCTAGTTTACCCCTATGCCATATACTGATCAGATTTCAGTTGCCAGTTTGTCAGATACTGTAATTCTAGATCAAAATGTAGATAACATTCCTTCTGAATGCAAACCAACAAATTTGTTGTTGAGGATCCTGAGGAAACATGTTTATATTTAAAATTATATTTATTGGGTTTATATGACCAATATGTAAAATGGGCTTAGACGAAAAGAAGGTGCCTTGAGGTCAAGAGGTACTGTTTTCAAAAATGTGGAAAGAAAGTTACTTTACTGTGTGAGTTTCAGTAAATTAAACTTCTTAGCAAGGAGAGAACTTATGTAAGGAGAATGTTTATTGTAGTGAAGGGGAGGGAAAAAGCTTGAAAAAACCTGAAAAGTTTCTCTTTTGGTTAGAGTGAGATTGTTTGGGTTTCTGAAATGGATTTCTTTGTAATACTCCCTTTTCTTTAATTCATTAATAAGTGCTTACCAGAAGTAGTATACTTCCATTTCACAATTCACAGAAAATGAGTTGTCAGTGAAAATCACTTGCTTGCCAACTCCTAATGCAAAAGTTTATCTTTCATTTTGAGTGCACTACTTCAGGGTTTTTTTCTCTTTTTCTGGACAAATTAAAATTCATCCCACTGTTTCAGTACTTACATCATTACCTATCTAGTTATCATGGTGAAGTTCTGTATCATGGTCCCAGCTTTTACCAGGAAAAGTGATTGTTTTATATATATTCTCTGTTTACTTTTGTGGTGTGTTTTAATTTTATTTTCTTCATATGAAATGGCCTTTATCAAAGTTTAAAAGCTGATGACTTTACATCATAGTTTTGCTGAGGTCTGTTTCCTGAGCTTTGTAAGGGAAGTTATTTATATAGCATTACTTCAATTAAAAGAAGGTGTCTTGAATTCTTACTACATATGTCCAGTAACAAAGCATGTGGAGAGAAATAAATGTGTGTATACCTACATTTTATTTCTAAATAAAGATCTGATACTTGTGTTGTAACCTACCTGCTTGCCAGGGAGTGGAAAGCCTGATTGTGTCGCTAATCCAACCTTTGGATTCTAAGTCCTATAGCTTCTTCAGCAGTTTTGGTAAAACACTGCTTTTTCCACTTTAGTCTTTAGAATTCTGTTGATTTTGAGCAGAAAATACTCTGGCTTGACAACTCCTTTCATTAATTGACCAAAGAGTGATTTTTAACTTTCTCTGATTCCATTGGCATCTGGTTTTGATATCAGCATGATTTTATTATTCTATTAATCTTTTTATCAGAAGCTTCTTATGTTTCACTTACCTTTGTAATTGTATTTTTGTAACTCAAATTATGCACTAGAAAAGAACTGAGAGTAATTCATAGTCTGCTCATTTTAAAATTGTAAACTAAAATACTATAGCCTTGTTCAATATATTCATGCTTTAATAGTCCTACTTTAAAAATCTATGGAAAATCTATGACTAGGAGTGTCAGAAGTGGAGTATATAGATCCACTTTTTCCAGACTAGGTTTGGAAAAACAAAAGTAATTATTTGAACTAAATTTTTTTCATTTAGCACTGTAGTGTAGTAGTGATTGATAAATGTTAATAATGTAGCAGTTGTTGATACTGCTGCAGGTGGCATTCAGATTTTAAAAAAAGATGAGAAAACAAATACATTCTCCTCATTCAGGTTGTCAAAAATCACAACCCTGACTGCATTTTACAGCTAAGTAACAGCATAAAAATTGAAACAGGAAGACACTTTCAGTATTCTGTGGTTTGTTTTAGAATTTGACAAAGACCTTCTTAAGGAAACTATTCCGACTCGCTCTCAAACAGAACTGCAAAAAAATTCTGAACATTATCTGTGTAGAAGGAAAAAGAGATTTTGCTAACCTCTGTCCATGTGCTTAGGAACCTAAGAATTTTATTCAAAGGAATTTTGTCCTTCTGCAAGATTCTACAGTTCAGGAGCCCAAACAAATGAGCATGCCTCTGGGTCTTGTGAGCTGTTCGGGGAAAAAGTATTTAGTATCTAAGATTTTTAAATAATGTCTTCAAGTTTTAAAGGACTAGGTTAATCAGTCCCTCACTTCCTACTGTCTTCTGTTTACAATCTGTCAGGCAAGCACAATGTAATTTCATCTCACTACAAGAAGTTATTTTATATCTCTGTTCTGCTTGGTGGAATTCTTTTCACAGTCCTTAGTCCCATTAGACTACAGAAAGGGTAGAAGTGGTCATGCTGAATAATAATATGGTTCCAGTCCAAACTGTGTCTCAAACTGTTTGAAAAGGTCAGATTATTAAAAGTATTCAATTTTCAATGTGGGTTACTGTAGAAAAACATTTCACTGAACATCTGTCTGCATCCTCAGATACATAATTCTTCTTTTAATAAATAGGTATCTTTTCCCTGTCAGCAAAGACTTGTGTCCTGGTTGTGATCATATCAGTATGTGATTTCTTAATTCACAGTCCTTAAGGAAGATCCCCCTGTTTTTATTAAAATAGCTGACCAATTTCCTGCTTAGAGGAACAGCTGCTGTCAAGAAGCTAGTAACTTCATTCTTCTCGGTGAATGGTGACAGCCACATAAATTAAAGGGAGAAGTGAATTAGCCTTGCTCCAATGTGTTAGCTGCTGCTAAAGACAGCACTTAACAGTTGGTGCTGTTTCCTACTGATTTACCAGAACACACATCGGTTCTTATAATGAATTGCTTCTGTGCTACTTCACTGAAGGTTTCAGACTGTATGTTCAATGAGTACTGAATTAGAAGTACTGCTATATCATATGGTACATAACTGAATTTGCTTCAAACGCTCAGTTAGATATTGCAGAAAAGGAAAACTAGCAGGGGAAAACTAGATCACTATGTTTGGGGAGCATAGTCATTCTTATGTATGTGGCAGTTGCTTTTAAAAACTGAAAGATTTTAAATTCTTTTTTTTTTCATGTAGGTTTGGAAGGCCAGTCTCTTGAAGTTTCCAATATTGTGGATATTAGAGGAGAATATAATCGTGAGCTTGCAATGAGAATTTCATCTGACATAAACAGTCAAAATAGATTCTATACTGATCTTAATGGATATCAGGTAATTATTGTCTATTATAAAAGCCTAGGATCTCTGTTTTTAACTGTCTTAATACCTCTGATTTTAAAGAGGTATTAGGAGTAAAGAGTCATATTAATCAAACTCTCTTGTTTAATTTCACTATTTATTTAAAAGGATAAATTTAAAATGTATCCATTCAAAAATTATATTTGAATCAGATGAAGCAGAAACTGTTTTCTTTCAAGGAGTTTGTTAAATATTCCTTTATATCCTTTTTAACATCAGAATTTAAAACAGCAAGTTATGACAAGACACCATGTAGTTGCTTGTATATCTGCATGCCACCTTTTCCCTCTGATTTGGTATTTATTTAGAGCCCTTTGGGCAGCACAATGCTAGATATGCATAAAGTCCAGCAACTCAGACCTAGAGATTAACTGCTTGCTGCTGTGGTGGAAATAAGTGATGTATTTCTGGAGTGTAGTAACTTATTCTGTTTGGTGAGGCATCTGATGAAATATAGTGTGACTATTTTCTTAACTTGGACTCTGAAGCATGCATAAAGACAATTTTCTTTTCCTTACCTTCCTTCCTTGCTAAAAATAGTTTTGCAAATACATTGAAAACCATACCTGTTGAGTAAGAGACTACTGTTTTTCCAGTTAGTGTGTAGTACTGCATTTTGCTGGGCACAGTAAAGTGAATATTTAGACATGAAAATTTTAACAATACTACTCATTTGTCATGTATCATTCAAGAATTTCACTAGCACTTTAATAAATACCCATTATAAACCAACAATTTATTTTCTGCTACCTTGAATCTATTCACTGCTTGCTCTCTAAAGGAGAAAAAAATTTCTCTCATTCTGTAACTGTGATTATTCCTTTTTTTGTAGGTTCCCTTGATGATGAATCTTTCATGTTTTTTTAAATATTCTTTGATCTAAAAGTACATTGAAGTTATCTTTTCCAAAGTGGTAATTTTAGCCACAAATCTCCAAAAAGCTAAATAATGCAGTCAAGTGAATGCTTTGGTGCTGGTTGTACTTCTAAAGCACATGAGATAAATGTCTGAAAAATTCTTTGAAATTTAAATGCGTAAAAATGATGTGTTTTATCGAAGTTCATGTTCATACTGCAGATCCAGCCCAGACTGACGATGAGCAAATTGCCTCTTCAAGCAAATATCTATCCTATGACAACAATGGCTTATATCCAAGATGTTGGTATTCGTTTGACACTTCATTCAGCTCAGTCTCTAGGTGTTGCAAGCTTGAAAAATGGTAAGTACAAGATGATAGTATAAAGGCTTGTCCTTCATGATTGTCTGAAATAGTTCATTCGAGATTATGGTACCTACTGGCATTTGAAGAAAGTAAGTATGTTTCTCCATCTCTGACAAGTTTTAGAATATGCCCATAAGTGAGGAGGTAGGGGTTGTTCCCACATGAGATCCTGTCATCTTCAGTGGAAGATCTGTCTCAAACTACAGACAGAAGAAAGCGATTATGAAGAAGACAAAATAAGCAATAAACTATATTTTTCACTCAAGAACTCCGATGGAACTCAAGGATAAAAGAGCAAAACTAAGTAGTTTGTTCTCTTTTGTACTGCTCTGGTAGCAGAGGGTTTAAGATGAATAATGTGATGCTGACCAATTTTTTTTTTTATTTGTTTGTTTGCTATAGGGTAGAAAGCACTAGTCTTAAGGTATACACAGTATAGCCTAACATCCCTGTCTAGGAAAACAATAGTAGCTTTTTTTGAAGACTAGGATTAGTTAAATAAAGGATAAAAATTACTCTGGGTAAGAATCAACATATTTCTGAAGCAAAATCATACTTCACAAATTTAATGGAGTACTTTGAAAGAGCTGATGAATATGTTGACATGAAAAATCAATTCTTATTAAGAATCCCAGAAGGGATGAGTCTTGTCCCTCACAGCAGAAAAAGCTATGATGAATGGCCTGGAGGGATGGAAACAGAGGTCAGTTATTCAAGTCTATAATCCTGCCAGAATGAGGAGACATTCAAATACAGCTAGCAAGTAGTGGGCAAATAAGGTATATAATTAATGATTTAAGAAGTATAATTCCTTGCTGTCATATATTTTGAGATTAAATTTATATACTTTTGAAAAACAATGGAATAAATGCTTAGAAGAAAACAAACTCATCAGAAACTATGCCAAAACCTTCTTTCCAGTTCCTTTTCAGAAAAATGTCATATTAATGTCTATTCTGACAAAAGATGGAAGACAGGTTGATGACAGTATTAACAAACCTAGTTCATTTTGGGGTAAAGTTAACACTGGCCTGTAATCTGATGCTTTATAATAAAGCCATAGTGGAAAGTATCAGCCTTTTGTTCCAAGGCCATCCGATACAATACCCAACCACATTTTTTCATGCCTTTCATTTTAGTTAAATATCAGGGAGAAACTGGCTTTCTGTGAGCACTGGTTTCAGCCCAGTCAGAGGTCATTAGAGGCTTTTCCCCTACTCCAGTAAATAAAAGAGCAGATGTATCCTATATGTGGTTATAGCATTAATTTCTTAACTATGTCACCCTTTGGCAAACTCGATTTATGTCACTCAAGGTTAAGAAATAGTTAGCAACATCAAATATTTATGCTCACTAAAAAAGAGGACAAAACGATTCATCTGACTTGTTATCATTAGGTTATATTTCATGAAATGATTGTTCACTACATTTGTCCTGAGGTTATGTTGGACCTCTTAAAACAAAAATGAAGCCAAAGGTTCTGTGGCTGCTGAAAGCTATATGCTTCATGACACTTATTTTGAAGGCCCTTTGGGATTTCAAAGGGGTCCTGAAGAAAATTCAAAAACTTTATAGTGTAGGCAAGCACCTTCAATAGCTATGTATCCATGTGTCTGAAATTATGTGTCTCAAGGCATAACCCACCATCTGAGATTTATATGAACAGCTGATTATTTCTCACTTCTCTTTCTTGGATCAGAGACAGGTTCTTTACTGTGGAGCAGTTAACTCTCATACTGTCAGATGATTTCAGCAGTATGGAGTATGATTTCTCATTATATTGACATCAGTCTTCAACAATCAACTTCTAAGAGACTTGATCAAAACCAGTAAATTATGTATGCCATAACTTAATTCCTACTTTCCATCTGTCTTTCCATTTGTGGGAATGAATGCTTAATCATTTTTTGATCTTAGATGCTGAACATCCTCCACCACTTAGTAAGTTCTATCCAATTCTGCTCTAATTTACTACTTAATGGATTGTTCTCCATGACCCAGGGAAGACCAGATAAATGGGATGCACCACTGTCATTTAGAGGTGGACTTCTCTGCAGTCTGCTGGATAATTAATGGGGTAGCAAGGATCACTTACATCCTGAAGCCTCATGCAATACACTTATACCATTTTTAAGCCAGAAATTTCCCTAAAGCAGTCTTTTTTAATCTTTGACCCACTTTGGAAATGGTTTTTATTGCTGACTTTAGCAGCACTGATCATATTGTTTGGATTTGCTTTTCACAATCACCTTAAGAATCACAAAGCTTTGTTTTGTCAGCCTTCGTTATCCTGTCTTCTTAAAGAATGCTGGAAATGCAGTTAGGTAGTTTTGGGTCTAGATCTTCTAAGTTTTGTTCAAAAATTTTGAAAAATATTTATCATAGGTTAGTCTTTCTTGCTATGGTTCTTAACTTTGTTCAGAGACTTACCATACCTGCGTGTCAGCCTGTGTTCATACAGCAATCCACAAAGACCATTAATTTGAGACACAATCCTTATACCAAAGCCTTATACCTTAGTTCAAAGTGGTAATTTGTTTCTTACTCATTGCCAGCTGACTTCTGTCCTAGATACACAACATCTGTTTTTACTCAAGGGAAAGGAAGAACAAGTATTTAGGAAAATTGGATAAGTATTTGTAGAACAATGAAATATAAAAGAGACCACCTTACTAAATAGCCTTTTCTAGTAGCTTAAACTGTGCATTTCTTATTTAGGAAACAAGTACTTCAGTCATCAAGTTTTATTTAGGAAACAAGTACAGTTGTTTGAAGTTTCAGTGTGCAAAAACTGTAACAGCCTTAATTGCATGCCCTGACCTTGTTTCCCTTTGGAGATATGAACTTGAAAAGACATGAATTTCATCTTCCATAAAGCTATTATTTATCATCAGAGCTATTCTGAATGGCAGTGCTACAGTTCAGTACAAACTCAGAACTTTATACTCAGTGTTTATCTGGTGCAAAGTTTTCTTTTCCTACTCCCACAAGTGAAAATACCCTTACTAGAAGAAGTGATGGTGAGGGTTTATATACTCATATTGCCTCGCTGCTTTTCTTTTTGCTTCCAACTGTGAAGTAAAAACAAAAGAAGGAAGAGATATATTTAGGAGGTGCACTCTTTATGGAGTGTTAACATGAACAGTTCCTCTACAAAAGGTCTCTCCATACAGCTGCAGTTACTTGGGGTCATTCTCCTCTTTGACGCTGATGTGCAAGGTATCCTTGTTACAAATAATAGTTAACAGTAATAACTTTTCATGCTGAACTTCTATTTAGATTCTTATGTTAAACATTTTCAGGACTTACTGAAAGATTTGTGAACATTTTTGGAAGGTTATAAACATCCAAAGCCCAAAGCTATTAACTGTTTTCATAATCAGTTGTAAAAATATTGATCTGCTATTACTCTTCCATATGCAACAGAAAAATTGTGATTCTTTATAACTTATATTTCAGAGTATTTTTTTAATGTTTAATAGAAGGTTTACATAATCTTGTTACCAGTATAATCCTTGTATTGCTCTTTCAGGTCAGCTGGAAGTGATCTTGGATCGTCGACTTATGCAGGATGACAACCGTGGCCTTGGACAAGGTGTCCAAGATAACAAGATTACAGCTAATATCTTCCGATTTCTGCTGGAAAGAAGACATGGAACAGAAGTGGTAGGATTCACTGTCTGGATTTTTCTGACTAATTAAGACATAAATATTTATTTCTGCTGAAGCAGCAGTGAACTCATTAAAGAAGTTATAACTTAATCTTTCACTATTTCTTATGCAAATACCTGCTTTCTCACTCACCCTTCAACACATGACTGGGGTACTGTTGTGGAAGTCTTTTTTTCCTTTTTTTTTTTTTTTTCTTTTTTTTATTGAAAAAGCTTGTAAAAAATGCTGATTAGCAAGACTATTGCTTCTTAACAAAGTTAAATGAATCTGGACAAAGGTTGACAAATTATTTCCGATGAATGAGTGGGAAGCGAAAATGTTTTATAAATTTGATTTTCTTAAGAAATAAGATTTAAGTGGAAATGCTCAGATGCGAGACATATAAGCCTTCCACTTCATTATCATTCTAGGAATGTTGAGACCATTTTGTTGTAAGGGGTTTTTTTTCACTTGCACAGATCATCTCAGTTTGCCTTTTTCTGTATTAGTCTTAAATAACTCTTCAATTTTCTTTCAGTTCTTTGCATTTTCTCTTTGCTTTTTTCCTATAATTTTTGAGAAGGACAAAATAAGAATTAAGTCTTCATACTGAGGCAGTAGAATCATGATGACAGCACTGAGTATATTTTAAAATCATCACATAGCTAAATATAAGATGTTGTATACTGAGCTGCTAATGAATATGCAGATAAGTTGGAATTAATTCTGGTTTTTAATGGATATCATTAACCACTGAGAGGATAATAATATCAAGCTTAAAGCTAATTTCCACCACTTAATGATTGGCAGTGTTTTTTTCAAGTTGTACATGTCATTATGATTTTCCAGTTCCTCATGCTGTGTAACACGGGCAGCATATTAACTGCATTTTCAGTGTGGTGTGCAAATATCTCAGCTAACTTGAAAGAAGCTATCTTGAGTTCTGCAGCAGTATAGCTTTGCAAACGAGCATCGCACAGATTAATCTGCCTTCACAAGAAGAAACCTGCAGAGAATCTCTACTTTCACAGAACGCTACTTTAGTACCCGGTGTAGTTTGTGTTGTATTAAATTAGAATGAGAAGCTGGTAAGTAAGAATTATGGAAATGTTTGTTTACACTAGCAAATAATTTAAACAACAGGAGCAGATCAAATCAGTTAGTGCCATGGTGCTTGCACTGACACTGTGCAGTTTGGGTATTTTCTGTAGAATCATGAAACAACTCACTATCAGGTATCTCTGGAGGTCTTCTTGTCCAACCCCTGCTTAAAAGCAGGTCTATTTTTGTGTCAGAACAGACTTTAAAAACTGTCCAGAGGATTAGCCATCTGATTAGCCATCCATTCAGACCGTAATGGAGATGTGAAGGGTTAGAGCACATCTAGGGACACTGTTGGTTACTTCCTTGTAAAAGAGAACTAGTCCATGCACCCTGAAACTTCTCTGCAGATAGCACAGTGCCTGATTGAGTGGGATTGGCTGTAAATTTAATTTCAGAACAGGACTGCTGCTTCAAATCAAAACACTCCTTTGGAAAAGAGTTTGAGGTTACCTCAGTTAGAATAAAGGCAGCCTAAAGAATTCTGGGCTTGTCTGGTTAGTGATACTTTTACATATGTAATATAATACATTGCATATTTGCATACATTTACCAGTTCGATTAGGATACCAGTCAGACACCAGCTCAGTAGAATAACAGTGTATTTTCCTTCTCTTAATAAAATCCTCTTCCTTTCTTCCATTTTTGAAAGTTTCTGTGCAAGTTGCTGATAACCTTTCAAAGGGAAAAGGGCAGTTACCCACTACGATCAAAAAAACCCTTTGAGCTGTTTTGGGTGCCTGTGTTCTAACACCAATGTTCCTTCCCCCTGCCCCTTCCTGATGACCTTATAATGGTATTAAATAGGTGCAGAGTAAGCCCTTAAGGGCAATTATTTATTATACACTCTTGCAGGGACTTGAAAAGAAGTGGGATCAAAACTATGTGTCCTGGTTCACCTAGGATAGGGTTAAGTTTCACTAAACGAGACGGGGAAGGGATATCCAGCCAGGTTTTTCATAACATGCTGATGTCATATCCGGTGCGGCAGCTGCAGGAAGCTTTCCTTTGTGGCTTTGGTGCGGGGGAGCACGCAATCAAGCTGTCTGTAATCATTGTGGTATTTCTCTGTATATCTTTTGTCTTGTTTACGGTTATTATTGTTTATTGTTGTTATCATTGCTATTGTTGTTGTTCAGATTGTTTATCACACTGTTGAATTAAATTTCTTCTTATTTCAACCCGGGGTTTGTGCCTAACTTCCAGCCTGACTGACTGAGGGTCGGGGAGGGGCAACAACAACGTCTCCAGTCCCGGCGCAGCTTAAAACTATAACAGCCATTTTTGGCGCCCTACATGGGTCACAAGAGGGTTGAAATAAGAATAAAAAAGGGACAGACCCTGACCAGAATCTGTTCGAGCAATCTGTTGGGTGTAATTTTTCTGTTTGCATTTGTACTGTTAAGAAAATGTTTGCAATGCTGGCCCATTTGCTTACGTAGTGGGGCTGGATTAAGTGCTGGTGTTTGTTGTCGGTGGAAAATGTATAAAGGGGCTTGTTTTCTCATACTGGCTATTGCCAGTATGCTTATAATGTGTTTGTATGGCTGTGTGTGGAGGTGGGCTGGTACCTGTTTGCTGCCTGGGCTTTTGTTAGGGGTCTCACCCCCTCTGTGAGTGAGCCAGTGGAAGAGATCCTCTTGGCTTTTGAGAGTTTCAGTTATCCCTGGAGCCTGCTGGCCAGTGTGATTGAGGCACAATGCCTTCTGAATGTCTGCCTGATTATGGTGTTGGCCATGCGGCACTTCTCTAACAATAGCAGTGCCCAGAAACCTGCCCTGAGGTCAGATAATAGTGAGTGGCAAGGGGTGTGGGAAAAGATGGGCAAAGGCCTGAGTTGGTGGGCACCTCCAGTGCTTTGGAATTTCACTCCTGAACAAATGCAGAGCCCTGAGAACCTGATGGAGTGCTTAGAAAGGGTGTGTTACCAGTCTGGCAAAACCCAGGAGACACAATGCGCTGCAATGTGTTGGGGACTTGCCTATGCCTACCATGTCCTTTTTAATACCACTCACTGCCCTCAAGGGGGAAAAAGGGCTGCAGAGCCTGAGAGTGAACTTACTTGTAAAGCAGCTGGACCGGAGGAACAGGCAGAGTCAGTATCGGTTGCCTCCACCAGAACAGCAGCTAAGCCAGAGAGCCAGCCAGTGCCGGTGTCAGTCGCCCCGATACAGAAAACCAAATATACCAGAAAATCAGTTCGCAAAGTGGGGGATGGGGATGAGCCAGGCCCAGCACAGGAACAGGAGGAAGGACCAGAGGTGATCGTCCGTTCTCTATCCCCAACTGAGTTGCGAGATATGAGGGGAGATTTCAGCTGCCTGGGAGGCGAGCAGATTTGTACCTGGCTGCTCCGATGCTGGGACAATGGAGCCAGTGCTTTTGAATTGGAGGGGAGAGAGGCCAAGCAGCTGGGATCTTTGGCCAAGGATGCTGGCATTGACAGGGCAATAGGGAAACAGACTCAAACCCTCAGCCTTTGGAAGCGACTCCTGCTCAGTGTAAGGGAGAGGCACCCCTACAAGGATGATATCCTATGTCAGCTGAGCAAATGGACCAGCATTGAGAAAAGCATCCAGAACCTCAGGGAACTGGCTGTGTTTGAGAAGATCTATGGTGATCTGAATGATGAGCAGTCACCCATGGACCCAGATCAGGCCCCTTGCACACACCTGATGTGGCGAAAGTTCCTGAAGAGTGCACCAGAAGCACACTCGAAAGCACTGGCAATAGTGTCCTGGTGGACAGACACCCACACTCTAACAGTGGATGGAGTGGTTGGCAAGCTCCGGCATTAAGAGGAAAATCTCCCCTCATCTCAACATTCCTGGGTCTCAGCTGTGGAGGAACTGTCTCAGAGGGTCCAGAAAATGGAAGAGGACATGTCCTCCATTCCACCTGCATGGGCTGATGTCTCAACCATTGGAAGTAAATGTTTCCCCAACCAAGAGAAAGGCGGCAGAAGGTACACACCACGAGGCACCCTGTGGTTTTTCCTCCACGACCATGGAGAAAACATGAGGAGGTGGGATGGACAGCCCACTGCTGCCCTAGCTGCACGAGTAGAGCAGCTGAAGGGAAGACCATCACAAAAGGGGAGTCCTCCAAGAAGAGCACAGCTCCAGTGTCCAGTCAGAAATCCCCCAGCCAGAATAGAATGGTGAACGTTATGTCTGACCCTCTTGAGGGCACCAGTGAATCACTCTTACAAGAAGTGAGTGATGATGAGCAGGATTAGAGGGGCCCTGCCTCCATCCAGGTGGAGGAAAGGGATAATCGGATTTACTGGACAGTGTGGATCCGATGGCCTGGCACATCAGACCCACAAGAGTATAAGGCTTTGATGGACGCTGGCGCACAGTGCACCCTGATGCCATTGAGCTACAGTGGGGTTGAATCCATCTGCATCTCCGGAGTGACAGGGGGATCCCAACAGCTGACCCTACTGGAAGCTGAAGTGAGCCTGACTGGGAAGGACTGGCATAAGCACCCCATTGTGACTGGCCCAGATGCCCCGTGCATCCTGGGCATAGACTATCTCAGGAGAGGGTACTTCAAAGACCCAAAAGGGTACTGATGGGCTTTTGGTGTAGCTGCCCTGGAGGAGGTTGAATATTTGTCCACCTTACCCGGCCTCTCAGAGGATCCCTCAGTGGTGGGGCGGCTTAAGGTTGAGGAGCAGCGAGTGCCGATTGCTACCAGGACAGTGCAGCAGCGGCAGTACCGCACCAACCGAGATTCCCTGGTTCCCATCCATCAGCTGATCTGTCAACTAGAAAGCCAGAAGGTGATCAGCAAAACTCACACCCCCTTCAACAGCCCTATATGGCCAGTGAGAAACCCTAATGGCGAGTGGAGGCTAACTGTGGACTACCGTGGCCTGAATGAAGTTACGCCAGCAATGAGTGCTGCAG